TAGCTTTTTTTTTGGGGGGGGGTTGTATCCAGCAACACTTGGCTAAATGTGTACAAGAAACCCCCCCGTGAGAGGTAAACAACACACACACACACACGCACACGCACACACACGCAAACGCCGTGCTAAGACAGCGTTACACAAGCCTAACCTCAGAGTGATGGGAGGGCAAGTGATAAGGACCTTGCTCCAACAAGGCCAATCCTCCGTCAGTAGTTCCAGGGATTAGAGAAGTAGATGAGACTTCCGCAGATGGTGGTAGAGGGGGGAGGTGGGGGGGGAGAGTGATCTAAGTTTATAGTTAAGGGCAAGTGGACGGAACCCATAAATAAAGATTTGATATCTGGTTGATATCTGGTTGGCAGCTGTTGTTCTGTGCCCACCTGAGGCCTGGTCGAGAGGACCGGGCCGCGGGGACGCTAAGCCCACCCGATATCTCAAGATAACTTCAAGATAACCCCTTCAGCAGCATCATGGCCAGTCCTCTCTGCCGCAAGACTGTGGCACTGGCACTTAAAACTATGTCTGGGGAATTCAGGAGCGTTTGTGCTATTAACGTATCACACAATAAACAACTTTTCTACTCAAGAGTTTACAACACAAACAAAAAAAACCTGTACACATATCTGCGTGTCAACAACCACAACAGATTGACAACAAAATTGACGACAAATTGTCAACCTAACAATCAATAAAACCCAGAATCAACGTGGTGAACACAGCAAGTTGTGTCTGTGGCTTTGCAACACAGCCAACAACGTCTGTGCCCCGAGTCACAGCCACAATCAACTGACTGCTGAGACTTGCAGCATGCACACTGAGAAGCCTGTAATAGACAAGGTTAGGATTTGCATACATCTTGCATATTCACTTACTGGATCTGAACCTCCTACCTCTATCATGGAAGCTGAGTCGTCATTTAATACACAGTTTACGAGCTGCCAAACGCCTAAAAAAAAATCGCCCTTTACAAATATCGCATCGGATGGGCGACTTCATAGCGCTTTGGAACACTAAAAACTGCTTCCAAATCCCAACTAAACCTCTATGATCGAGGTTTGTAAGGTGTACATCTCTCAAGTAAACATGTATGAATGCTCTTTGAATCCTGACTCTGGCATCAACATGGGGGGGGGGAGTAGGGGACACGAAGGGGTTTCGAACGCTTCTAGCGAGTAGTTTCAGGCGTGGAAATGTATTTTGTTGGGAAGTTGGCAAAATGAAAGGGAAGTAGTCTTCTTGCGTTGTTTTCCCGTAAGCTAAATCCTTACGGTAAATCCTAAGGTCATCGACCAGGCCTCCTCGTAGCTAGACTGGTCAACCAGGCTATTGGACGAGGCAAATTGGAATATAAAAATAATATATAGTTTGGGGGGAGAAAAAGGTCGATAGTTTGATTACACATTGCGTTAAAACTGACGAAGATTGACACTAGGCATTTTCGAGAGGTTGATGTGGTTTGCAACCGGCCAGGCCTCTAAACTAATCCGTTTCATTCTGTACGTTGAGCTCCCCAGCGTACAAATTACGAAGTACTACGAAAAATAGCAGCTCACATGTATCCACATTTTCTATGCATCGGCAGGTTAGGTTAAGTGGGTGGCTTGGGTACGTACTTTAACGGTCAAGGGCTAGATTCACGAAGCAGTTACGCAAGAACTTACGAACCTGTACATCTTTTCTCAATCTTTGGCGGCTTTGCTTACAATTATTAAACAGTAAATGAGCTGCGAAGCACCAGGAGGCTGTTTATAACAATAACAACAGCTGATTGGCAAGTTTTCATGCTTGTAAACTTTTTCAATAAATGTAATCAAAGCCGTCAAAGATTGAGGAAAGATATACACTTTCGTAAGTGCTTGCGTAACTGCTTCGTGAATCTGGTCCCAGATTAGCACGGTGTATTGTGTGCGTTGTGACAAAACAAGCAAATGGGGCCGTTTGGGCACCGTTTTGCCGTCTCGCTCAACTTGCCAAGTACACCACAACAGATCCTTAACAGACTCCTTAACAAGGTGTAAAAGAATGTCAGAGATTACAAAATAAAGTCAAAACCTTTAACCAAACGCTAATTATGAGTCGTTATTCATAACGCCAGAAAGACGGGAAATAATATTAAGTGGCCTGCAGGAGCTTAAGACAGACAGATACAGTTGATGGTTACCTCACAATGCATCATTTTTGCACGTAAGAAACATTTATGTGACATTTTGGACAGTCAGCTAGTTGCTAGGCCGTCTATGTAACGGCAGATATTCCCATTGGTTGGTGGTGGTAAGACAAAATATTGGTTACCACCTCGTGGGTGAAACTGGAATTGTCTTGAATTCCAGTTTCAAGACAATTATTTTGTCTTTTGTCAATTATTTTTTTGTCTTATTTTGATTTTCTCCTCCTAGAGCCATTTTCTCCTACTGGTGAATCCTGGGATGCCCTGCGAGTGTGTGTGTGAGAGAGAGAGAGAGAGAGAGAGAGAGAGAGAGAGAGAGAGAGAGAGAGAGAGAGAGAGAGAGAGAGAGAGAGAGAGAGAGAGAGAGAGAGAGAAAGCAGTCTTTGGTAGACACTTATGTGTCGTGTGTGAGAGAGATGACTAGACACCACAGAACTAGAACTTGTTAAATGGGGAAGAGATATTACAATTCCCCCTCAAGATTTATACTTTCCTAAAGAATGTTTTTATGTAAAAGTTTGAATGATAGTGTAAGCTTAAAGTATCTCTCTCTCTGTCTCTTAAAATAACAGTAAGAACTAATTAAGTACAAATAATATTTGGCAAATATGTCGTCTTGTTGGTGAGAATGAAATCCTTGGCCACTGACCTATGTCGGGTCATCAGTGGTCAAGTTTGAAAATAAAGTGGTGAACTTTGCCCACATTTTCTCCGGGGAGAAATTGAGCTTTGAGCTTAAGACGAAGAACAATGACCAAGAATTCTCCTGGTTCCCGTTGCATGCGGGTCTCGTGAGTAAAATGTGAATGTAGTTCTATCTTCAAGAACATTATGATGCTCTCTTTAGGAAAAAAATACAAGAATTTAGTTAAAATATAAAAACTGCTAATGTTTAAAACAATCCCTTACATAGTGTGAGTGAGTCACGGCTCCTTTCTCACTATGTGTGAGGGAGGAGCTGCTCTCCCTCACAAAAGTGAGGGAAAAGGGGTTCCACATCTTCCGTAATTTCCCCCCTTGTTCTCATGAAAACCTTAACTGCCTCATTAAACCCTCCTGCAATATTTACCTCTAATACGCAACATCAATTCAAAGTTACCCCTCACTATTTTATTTCATTAATATAACGAAGCTTTAACTGTGAGGAATAAATTGTTTTTCTCCAAGTGAAAATTTAAGTGCATTTGAATAATGGAATAACATAACACCTATTACAAGGGCAGAAATGGATTTGGGTAGGGTGCCCAGTCAGTCCTACAGGGCACCTTATCCTGTGGAACTGGGTACAGGTAATTAGGAAGGAAGGAATGGGATACTTGGGAAAGAGTTAAAGACGAAGGAACAGGGTAATGAAATTAGTGATAATTTAGTAATACGTGAGAATGGGGGATGTGGGAGGGATGGGGTCATGAGGGGGGGGGGGGGTAAATATGATGTCTGAGCCTACATGACCCTGGCCATGACCCTGGTTTGAATCCTCGAATTCCAATCCTATGCCACAGATTGTCTGTCCTTGGTTCTGTAGGGTGTGGTGTGACCACACCCTACATAATCTGGGGTGTGGTGTGACCACACCCTGCAGAACCAGAGGGTGTGGTGTGACCACACCCTCAGGTCTGTTAGGGTCTGTCTGAGCCGTAACCGAGGTAAAGTGTGTCTTTATATCGTCCAGGGTTATCATGTGTAAGGGTGTGGTTGAACCATACCTGTGGTCCATCAGGGTGTGGTTGAACCATACCTGTGGTCCATCAGGGTGTGGTTGAACCATACCTGTGGTCCATCAGGGTGTGGTTGAACCATACCTGTGGTCCATCAGGGTGTGGTTGAACCATACCTGTGGTCCATCAGGGTGTGGTTGAACCATACCTGTGGTTCATCAGGGTGTGGATGAACCATACCTGTGGTCCATCAGGGTGTGGTTGAACCATACCTGTGGTCCATCAGGGTGTGGTTGAACCATACCTGTGGTCCATCAGGGTGTGGTTGAACCATACCTGTGGTCCATCAGGGTGTGGTTGAACCATACCTGTGGTCCATCAGGGTGTAGTTGAACCATACCTATGGTTCATTAGGGTGTGGCCAAGTCATACCTGCAGATCATGAAAGGTTCTTGTGGGTATCTTTAAAAAAAAATCTGTGGGTTAAAACCAAGTCTTGAATGCAATATCTTGGATATCTTATATAGATATCCTCAGGATATCTTGTATACGTGACCAACGAACTAAACATTTGCAGATTTGAATACGATATAATAATGCCTTAGTGAGATAAATAGCAGTACAATGTATTTTTAAAAACGTAATAGTTAAATATGTTAAAAAAATAAAAAAAAATCTGTGGCATAAAGATGGGTTTTGGTTTTAGGAAATTTAAAAAAGGCCATCATTTCTTAGTCCCAATAATCTTTCTCGACATCAGCGGTTCACAAATTTTCCTTTGGCACGATAGATATATACAGTAAAAAAAAATCATATTATACACTATTTACATTTTTTTTGTTATTCTACTCATTGTTAACATTGTTTGCTTAGAAGAGATGTTTTGGGATTGTATGTGTATGTGTGTGTGTGTGTGTGTGTGTGTGTGTGTGTGTATGTACTCACCTAATTGTGCTTGCGGGGGTTGAGCTCTGGCTCTTTGGTCCCGCCTCTCAACCGTCAATCAACTGGTGTACAGATTCCTGAGCCTATTGGGCTCTATCATATCTACATTTGAAACTGTGTATGGAGTCAGCCTCCACCACATCACTTCCTAATGCATTCCATTTACTAACTACTAAGTGTGTGTGTATGTGTGTGTGTGTGTGTGTGTGTGTGTGTGTGTATGTGTGTGTGTGTGTGTGTGTGTGTATGTGTGTGTGTGTGTGTGTGTGTGTGTGTGTGTGTGTGTGTGTGTGTGTGTGTGTGTGTGTGTGTGTGTGTGTGTGTGTGTGTGTGTGTGTGTGTGTTAACAGCATGACTCATTATAGAGAAGCAGGGACATTTTTACATCATAAGAAGAAAAAATATTATAAACATATGATCTGCACAGCATTTGAACATATTACGACTAAGTTTCGCGCCACAGAATTGACTAAAGTAACGCTTGAACTTAGAGCAAACAAAATATTTACAATATTAAAATGAATTGCAAATGCAGAAAAAAAAAAACATACATATAGCACAATATAAAATAAGAAATAGTTTAAGCATTTCGTTTTCTTAAATTATAAATGTTTTATGTGTATAAAAAACGTTTTTGGTCAAAATGTATATATATATATATATTAAAGAAAATGCTTCACAGGACCTACGATGTTTTTAGAGCATGATTTGTAAAGACAAAAGTTAGAGAGGAATGCAGTGGTGATTCATTCCTCTGATCCCCATTATAATAGCCAAGATTTATAATTTCCCCACAAAAAAAGCTCTTGGAGTAGTACATGATAAAAAATGTATCCCATGGAACATTAATTTAACACAAGACTCTTTGCAGTTTTCTTATTCCATCCTCTTCAAAAAATCGAAAAGTGGTTCAGAATCAAAGCAAGCCGGGATGAGCACTTCAGTTAATCATTTAAGGTATGACCATTGTAAAATGTGAGCTTTATCCGTTAGAGATTAATGACGCAGCCAACCAGAAAGTGAGTTGAGCCCAGGAGTTGAGCCCAGGAGTTGAGCCCAGGAGTTGTGCTACAGTTTGATAATCACAGGCTTCTGTGAGCCACAGTGTCAATTGAACCTTAGGGTTGCCCACAGAGTTGAAGCCAGGGCTGTGCCATGGGAAGGTCTAGATTGTGCCAGGCTTTACAGCGACAAAGAGAGAGAGAGAGAGAGAGAGAGATAAAAAAAAAGTACTGGAACATAACCCCAGCGAGATTCCTGTGAAATGGAACCCAGCGCCAGGATCCACTACAAGGCACTTCCATGTCTGCCTGGATCACCAATGTTTCATGCCCTTCACGATTGCGTCTATAATAAGCACAGTGTTCCAGTTTTGGTAATACCATGGCATGGTAATTATGATGCGTACACCACTCAGACACGTACACACACACACACACAGATGCACACGATCGAACACACACACACACACACACACACACACACACACACACACACACACACACACACACACACACACACACACACACACACACACACACTCTGTTCATAACACCCTTAACTATGGCAGGGTGTGAGTGAACTCTTGACTCTTTGTCACGTTTTGATGGGAATGATTAATTATCTTAAGAAGCAAAGGAATAGGTGGGGTTGAGCGCGCGTTGGAGCCCCTTTGGAGATGGAGTTGAGGGCACGTTGGAGCCCCTTTGGGAATGGGGAAGCACACAGAGCAATCAAGTCCAGAGTCCTTTCCTCACCTCCTCAACAGATGCCTAAAATTACACTATCTTACATCACATTTTTGAGCATTTACACTTCGTGATTCGACCACACTGAGCCACCTTCGCACCGCCCTCACACTATCTTGCTCACTTCTCTTAGAGAAGCAAGAGAAACTCAAAACTGTTCCTGATATGTGCGCCTAAGAGCGTCTTCACTTGTCGAAGAAACATCAGTGTGAGAGTGACTTTCACCCCTTGTGTGCTCGCTCAATAAAACTTACTTTTCTTCTAAGTGAATAAAAAAGTGAGAATATTGAGACTCGTTGCCCAGAATATTTTACGACACAAAACAGTTGATCCCCACAACACCTTCTCTCTCTTTTTTTGTACCCAGCTGTTATATGGTGGGACGTGTAAGACCAGTCTTTTTTTTCCAAATGTTAAAGATTAACAGTTTTCCTCACTGTGACGAAGCTGACTGACAAACTGAGCCTTTCGTATCACTTCTGGAAGATCACACTGGCACAATCCTCCAGGTATCTTAGAACACAGTTTGACTGAGGTTTTCCATAATGCCATCAACGAGATCCTCTCTAAAGTCACTTTACACAAAACTACAGATTTAAGAAGTCCGAAATCTGCCAGTTCCCCACCGGCATTCGATTATCAAAACTCTTCAAGCTTATTAGCTTTCGAAATGGAAAACAAAATTTGTTAATCGCTTTCAATGTGATTTTAGTTCATTTGATTATTCCACTGTATCACTTAATCACCACCAACGTTTACAGCATTAGTCAACTCATTCAGGTCCTTTGAGAACTCGTTAAAAGAAAACGTCACTTCTAATCAACAGTTTCCAATCTAATACTGAAGAGGCTCATTGGTAAACATGAGCAGGCAGCGTTCTTAACTTCAAGTTGAGCTGCCGTCTGCCTGCTGGGAGTGCCAACAGGCAGTGTCTGGAGGTAGCGCACCAGGGAGCGTCAACAGGGAGCGTCAACAGGGAGCGTCAACAGGGAGCGCAAACAGTGAGCGTTCACCCGGACAGCTACGAGATCGGAGGAGAGCGCTGATGCGATGAGCGATGCCTCACTCACCTGGTGACGGCGAGATAATTGGCCGACTCGAGGTACACTTTGATCTCTTTCGTCACTTTATTTTTTGGCCTCGGCTGATGAAGACACACATTTTTTCCCGCCGCGACCTCTGGCCTCACACCAGATGACCTCTGTGCTCCAAGGGCATGCCTGAAGGTGGACTGGCGTCCGGGGCGAAGGTGGAGAGCATGGGCGTGTGTGTGGGCGGGTGGGCGCGTGTCGGAGACTGGGGTTTGTTGCTGTACTGGCTGCCGATTCCCGCCGAAGACGACGACGACGACGACGACACCGGGATGTTCATGGAGCCATTGCGGATATAGTCCTTGGGAAAGTGGAGCTTGGAAGGTTGGTTCCTCCGAAGTGACCCGTTGTTTTGGGTGTGGGCGGTGAGAGGGGTGTGGGCGGGGGGCGGCTGGTAGGTGTTGTAACGGTTGGGGAGCGGATAGTGGTCATCGGCAGCGGTGATGTTGTAGTGGTCCGGCGTGGTGTTGATGTTGTAGTGGTCCGGCGTGGTGTTGATGTTGTAGTGGTCCGGCGTGGTGTTGCGCCTGCCCAAGGTGCCGTACCCCGCCGCCGCACGGTCTGTGCAACAGGAAAAACAAAGAACATGTATAGTTTATTATTGAGTGGGAACTTGCAGGAGCATACAACCCCCGCTCCTGTGCCAGGTAAGTAAACCACGGGCTCACCGTAGCTCGCGCTACTTGGAACTTTTTGTTCAGAGTAGCTGAATCTAAAACACCTAAAATAACAGTAGTAGTGGAATAGACGCATCAGGGGTGTCTTTTTTTCGGGGGTTGGAGGGCCCGGAAAATAAACAGTTTAGTAACTCCTTTTTTTTTCAATCTGAGAGAGGTCTGGGGGTATAAGTTTGAAAGTCACCGCTGATGCTTTAGGGGTTTCAGGGTAAATTTTTTCAGAGTCCTGTTGAAGACCGAAATTTTTGGCAGAGTCCCAAAAGTCGGTATTAATTTTTTTTTTTATTAAAATATGAGGTACATCTGCATTAGTGCAGCTATCCTAGATTATGTGAAGTGGAGTACAGTGTGTCAAAAAAGCTAACTAGGTGATGCTAAAAAATCCCCATCACACAGGATGGTTAGTCATACAGAGGCAGTATTAAAGAGTTCTTACGGAGAAAATAAACTCTCTGTACTGAAGCAGATATTTTTAAAAAGTTCATCCTATGTTAGTTCTTGGACCCGGCTCTATTTATTTTCAGAGTTTTACTTACACCTGCGGTCTTAAAAACAAAAAAAGGGGTTCTTATTGAGAAAATAAACTCTCCGGACTTAATTTTCCACTTTGAAATATACTTCTCGGTATTTAGAAGTTAGTTCATGGACCCAGCTCTATACGTTTATAAGTATAGATTTGCTACTAGTAGCCCAATTTAAAACAGTCATATTTCAGATGTATTAAAACAGAAAATAAAGTTAACGAGCTCCAGCTCTTGTCCCTGCCTTATTGGCCTCTCGTATCTTCGTTAATAACCGATCAATTTCCCTGAAATTTAAAACCGCTGTATTTCAGATGCTATATAATAAATCGAAGCAAATATTGAGTTTCAGCTCTTGTTCCCCACCTTACTCTAATCATGCAACTTCGTTATTATCCAATTTCCTGACATTTAAAACGACTGTATTTCGGACGTAGTAAAGTAAATCAAAGCCAATACCAAGATCAAGCTCCCGTCCTCCGCCTTTCTAGCTCCCGTCCTCCGCCTCTACTTAAGTTTGTAGAGTTTATTTTCTCAATAAGACCTCTGTTAAGTAAAACTCTAAAAATAAATAGAGCCGGGTCCAAGAATTAATATCAGATGAACTTTTAAAAAAATATCTGTTCAAGTCCGTAGAGTTTATTTTCTTCATAAAAACTCTTTAATACTGCCTCTGTATGACTAACCATCCTGTGTGATGGGGATTTTTTAGCATCACCTAGTTAGCTTTTTTGACACACTGTACTCCACTTCACATAGTCTAGGATAGCTGCACTAATGCAGATGTACCTCATATTTAAAAAAAAAAAAAAAAATTTAATACCGACTTTTGGGACTCTGCCAAAAATTTCGGTCTTCAATAGGACTCTGAAAAATTTCGGTCTTAAATGAACTCTGAAAAAATTTCGGTCTTAAACTAAACTATGAAAAATTTCGGTCTGAAACTGAACTCCGAAAAAATTTACCATAAACCCCCGAAGCATCAGCGACACCTTTCTTAAAACCCCCCCAGACCTCTCTCAAGAGTAAAGCATCAGTGGCGCGTCTTTTCCACTCCCCACCTCCCTAAAACAGGCACCACTGATGCTGAGTTCGGTACTCTACCGAACTGCCAGAGATACTTGTAGCCAAGTCTTATTCGAGCTGTGAAAACATCTGTTAGTCTACTGACTTTTGTTACTTGTACTTGTACACATGTTCCTGTCCTCATTCATCCGGATTAGAGGGATATTGCAGATCCCTCTAATACCAACATGTATATGTATGTGTATAAAGTATATGTGGAAGCTGATCAGAATTACATTATACCTTTGTAAATGCACATTAATGACACTATGTAAAAAGACACATCAAACACTTTATGAATGGTATACGTAAATCTGTGTATCTATGTATTTACGTATGTAGGTTAGCTTAGCATTTTAAAAGCACCGAATCACCTTCTGTGGTTGATTGTTCAATAAATCCTTGAACTATGTGTTTAACACTTCTCTAACCCTGTCCATGGAGGACAGAAGAAAATGTATATATGTTGGTTAGCATTGTAAATGTGTGGCCACGTCTGTGGTAGAAAATAATGATAATAATAAAAAATCCATCACGAATCGTTATCCTGACTCATTCCAAGCGCTACATTCGCCATAATGGCTTGTACGCTTTCTCCTGAGAATACCCTCCCCTGTCTACATCTACTCCCATGCGCGCGTCAATCTACCTTACCTAGAGCGGCGTTGTACTGGTTGCGTCGGACGTCGTCGTACGGGTCGTCCATGTTGAGGTCGTTGTGGGAGGGAGGCGGGGGCAGGATGTGTGGTGGGGGTCTGGTGGCGTATTGTGGTGGGGGCTCCAGCTGCTCGATGAGGTAGGTGCTGGCAGCAGTCACTCTGGCCGCCTCTGTGGCGTACTCGTCACCCGAGTCCTGGTGGGGGAGGGGCAAGTGCTGGGTGAGGCTAGTGCTGGGTGCTGCTGGGTGCTGGGGGGACAGTGGGGTGGAGGGGAGGGGAGAGATAGAGGGGGTAGCGGAAGAGAGGACACACACACACCGTTGAGAGGCGGGACCAAAGAGCCAGAGCTCAACCCCCCCGCATGCCCAACAAACACACACACACTCATCAACATAAATTCATAATAAACATAAAATCAATAAGATTTGCAAAAAACAATCATTCTAAAATTAAAATAACTACCAATAACACTCGTAATGTTATCAAATAATATTAATTCTAAAACGCACAATGACATTGTTAAGAATGATAATAATAATAATTCAAATACAGTTATAAATAATATAATAACCACGTCAGCTGGGGTCAAATGAGAACAAATAGGAATAAGTGTTCCTAGCTTCGACACTTCGATGTCGTGTCGAAGTGTCGAAGTCAGCGCACCAGCCAGCCACTCCTAGCTCCAACACTCCTCCAACACAGATGAAATTAAGTTTTCACATTAGATCTTTTTTTTTCCTTTTCCAGCTTCCATATGTATCTCAGTTAAGCCAGTCTAGTGAAACGTGCTGAAAGGGGTGGTGGAGAGAGGGGAGTAAGGGTGATGGAGAGAGGGGAGTAAGGGTGATGGAGAGAGGGGAGTAAGAGTGATGGAGAGAGGGGAGTAAGGGTGATGGAGAGAGGGGAGTAAGAGTGATGGAGAGAGGGGAATAAGGGTGATGGAGGCTAAGGACACAAACACACAAAGGTGCGATGGAAGCGTAGGTGCTTTTTTAAGCTCTGGCGACACGTGTAACTTTAAATAAGTCATTCTCATTCTTCATGTGTCTGAACCTGTTTTAATTCCTCTTGACATTAAATTCCAAATTTTTCTGATATATATATATATATATATATATTTGCTACTTCCTCTCCTGTCATAATTGATGCGAGGGTGAATGAATAGGGGTTAGGATAAGTCAATTATCAGGAGAAAGTGGTAAGCCAGTATGACCACCACATAGAAGGGGCATTAAGGCCAGAGTGAAGGAACAGTGCACAGAATCTTGGATCATCTTATATAGAGTCTAAAGAAATATTTCGACCATTATCAAGACCAATAATAAAGTCCAAAGTCCATACACAGACCTCTTTGTGGCACTTAACAACTAATTGACCATTAAACTAGACATTTACTTTAGTTTGGAATGGGTGGGGTAGGAAAGAATGGACCAATTATTCCACTCATTAAAATTAGTGCAATTAACACAACAATGTACACATAAATACATAAATACTCCAAGCTGATAGTCCTTAGGGACAGACCGAAAAGTTGTGGAGAGATTTAGTAGTTACGGAGAGATTTAGTAGTTACGGAGAGATTTAGTAGTTACGGAGAGATTTAGTAGTTACGGAGAGATTTAGTAGTTACGGAGAGATTTAGTGGTTATGGAGAGATTTAGTGGTTATGGAGAGATTTAGTGGTTACGGAGAGATTTAGTGGTTACGGAGAGATTTAGTAGTTACGGAGAGATTTAGTGGTTACGGAGAGATTTAGTAGTTATGGAGAGATTTAGTAGTTACGGAGAGATTTAGTAGTTATGGAGAGATTTAGTAGTTATGGAGAGATTTAGTAGTTACGGAGAGATTTAGTGGTTATGGAGAGATTTAGTAGTTACGGAGAGATTTAGTAGTTATGGAGAGATTTAGTGGTTATGGAGAGATTTAGTGGTTATGGAGAGATTTAGTAGTTACGGAGAGATTTAGTGGTTATGGAGAGATTTAGTGGTTACGGAGAGATTTAGTAGTTGTGGAGGGGTATAGTGACTGCAGAAGGGTTAAGTGACTATAAAAAACACAATATTTAAAAAATAGTTGGAATAGTCACCATAAAAAAGTGTAAGAAAAATCATAAATGATGTAAAAAACGGATAAGGAGTTTTGGGAGAAAGTTGAGTGAACACTTTTTTGAGGAGAAAATATTTTAGAGAAAGGTTAATGGTGATGATGGAAGGGTAATGAGAGAGGTAACTATGGAAAGGGAGACGGAATGGGAGGAGGAGGAGGAGGAGGAGAAGGGGCTATTTTGTAATATTATGAGTCAAGAGATTACAAATAACGACAAAAATTCCGTAATAACACATGAAGGAATAAGAAGAGTTGAAAGGAAGGATACCAATGGGACAGAGGATAGAAAATGGGGGAAAAATAGAGAAGGATTGAATGGGACAGGACAGTCGCAAGACCATGATGGAGTAAGTGCAAATATATTTAGACATGAATGTGACGTGATGCTGGAAATAATGTTTTTAATGTATGTTCGACGCCAGAAACATAACGTCAGAAAAGGGAGGAAAAAGGGTGCAATTTGGAAAGGGTGGGTGGAAGAGGGCACTCAGAGAACGAAAGGGCAAGTGCAGAACGTGCGTACGTGAGCAGGGGGCAAGATGGGGGAGACTAGAGAGGGGGGAAGAACGATAGGAAATGCGCAAGCGTGCCATTAGACGTCCCTTAACAGTGCCATTAGACGTTCCTTAACAGTGCCATTAGACGAGGACGTTTATATGAATTTAAAGACAGAACAACAGTGTAAACTGGAACTGGCAAGTGCATTAACACTACGAAATGTGTCAAGTAAAACACGTGTATGGGACAAGTAACAAAATCAGCAGACTAACAGACGTTGTCACAGCTCGAATACAACTTGGCTACAAGTATCTCTGGCAGTTCGGCTTGTATAGGGATCTAGATGAAGTAGAGTGTAAAGTGTGTGGACAAAGACAGGGACACACACTCGAACACTATATCTTGAACTGTGATCAAATTGAGCCATTTAGAGATAAATCTAAACTCGTAGTGTTTGAAATGGCAAATCATCTCATTACTAAGGATAAAATACCTGAAAGCCTTGCGTTGTATCTATGTTTCGCTTCCAGTAGATAAATGACATATAATTAAGGAACAAATTAAGGAGCAATTAAGGAACAGTGTAATGTGAAAGCTAACAATAATAAACAACACCATTCCTATGACCCTGTATTACCACCATAACTAAAAGAGATATGTACTACCAAAAAGACCTGCTATTAATGTATAATTATTAACTGTAAATACATAGCTAATAATACGGAACAAACTCAGTAACTAGCTGACATTGTAATTATAAGGTGCGCAGGAGAGATGTAATCATTAATCTAATAATCTCCATTGAGATCTGATGAAGACCTTTTGTGTCCTGTGTAATCCTTTTTGCGCTACCGCTCACAGGATGAGTATGAGACGCACAATAAACTAGCCACTCCCGAAGGCAACAATCAATCAAATAAGGACTCGGGATGGTGTGGGGGCATTTCATAGGCCAAAGTAAACCAAAATATCAGTCCTAGGAACTCAAAACACACACACACACACACACACACACACACGCACACACACACACACACACACACACACACACACACACACACACACACACACACACACACACACACTCACACACACACGCACAGCTCGGTTCAAACAGGTCAGAACACAATAGTCTGTAACACAATACTGCAAAGTCTATGCTGAAAAAAAATAATCCCAACTTTTCCGAACTATATTTTTTTCATTAGTTGTATCCCCAACTATATTTGTGTATTATTTGTATTAGTTGTATTAGTTGTATAAAATATCGTCGTACCCACAAATATCATACTAATTTAGTGGAAGGGGAAGTCCTAAGAGAAGGCTCAGAGGGGGTGCGTCAAAGGGGAGGCTTAGGGGGAGGGGTCAAAGGGAAGACTCAGAAGGAAAGGCTCAATATTAAAGCCACGATGAGGGGGGGAAATGATAAAATATTAGAGAAGAGGGAGAGAAATGGAATGGAAACGGCAAGGAGAAAAACGGGTGGGAATGACTGCGAAACGGGAGATAAGAGAAGGTAGAGGAGGAGAAGAGGAGGGAAGGTGGATGATGAACACATTGGAAAGTGGAATTAGAGACTAGTGATGAAGGTGGAGGATGTAGTAGACGTGAAGATAATGGAGTGTGAGTGGAGGCGTCGAGGAACAAGAGTTAGAATTTACTGTTACCTAGCAGTAAAATAGGTACTCGGGAGTTAGTCAGCTGTCACGGGCTGCTTCCTGGGGGTGGAGGCCTGGTCGAGGACCGGGCCGCGGGGACACTGAAAAGCCCCGAAATCATCTCAAGGTAACCTCAAGAAGGAGTAGGAACTAGTAGTGAAGACAATAGTGGAGATGATGTCAGGTAACATAGAACATCTTGAGGTTATCTTGAGATAATTTCTGGGCTTTAGTGTCCCCGCGGCCCGGTCCTCACTCAATCAGGCCTCCACCCTCTAGGAAGCAGCCCGTGACAGCTGACTAACTCCCAGGTACCTATTTACGGCTAGGTAAGAGGTGCATCAGGGGTGAAAGAAACTCTGCCCATTGTTTCTCGCCGGCGCCTGGGATCGAACCCGGGACCACAGGATCACAAGTGCAGTGTGCTGTCTGCTCGGCCGATCGGCTCCCTTATCCATACCATAGGGTATCCATATCCCCCATTAATAAAGATAATAGGGATTCCTCAAAGGGAATCCCTAATCATTAGCGATATCTACTGAAAGGGGGGATAATCAATTCAAATACCCAATCAATGAATCTACCCAATCAAGAGGAACACCTAAGCAATATGGATATACCTGCACCTTGATATAAGCAGCATACCTCTTATATCGAACACCCTTAATATAAGACCAAAAAAAAAAATCACAGATAAGCGACATTATTGCGAATTGAAAATTGCCGTAAAATCTTGCTAATTGCCAGAGTCAGAATCAAGTATGCGCTATTTTTCCCAAACATTTCGGATTTTCTTTTTAATGGTTGGATATAAATCCTTATGGAAATACCGAGTGTGTGAGCGGTCTTCAATGATTCAGGGTGCTGAGCAGTAGTCCTGTTGCCATATTGTGCAATATATCCAATTGGTGATAGAACTGTTACAATTATTA